TCTCTTTATATTGCTGCTCTATTTTCTGCCCTTGTATTACATAAAAGTCCAATAAAATGCATCGAAGTTGGATGTAACTTGACATAATGTAAAAAAGATTAAGGGTTCTGAGCACTTTTACATAACTCTGTCTGTATGAGATGAAATGTGGATTATTTTATCCCAGATCTATAAATGAAGCTGTTCAGAATAACAGCTTCCTAGCAAAGAAAAATAGCCTTGGTTGACAGTAACATGCACAATCCTGTTAAAGGTCACAAGAAGGCATTTTCCAATCATAGTGAATGTGCAGCAGATGGCGTGAATAGAATGAGAATTTAATTCTCTTGCTGTCTAGGAGCACATGACTTGAAAATTTGTGATCACAAAAACAATGCATAATTCCAGCAGAGATTAAAACTTGCTTGGAAGCATCGTCAGTTCGCCTCATGTTAGCGTGTGCGTAACTCCCAGCATGACCCAGTTCTCAGAACGCTCACGCTATGCTGTAGTGGAATTTTTAATCCTCTGTTTTATGCAAAGATAACCACGGGAGGAGCAGCAGTAAAATGCATGTGGAAAACATATTTATAACTGACCTGTGATGACAAGGGTGTATGGGATGGATGCCTCTGTGAGCATGGCCTGTATGTGGCCGGTGAACAGCTGGAGAGCCTGCCCACGTCCGCTCTGGGGGTTCACCAGGATCATGGTTCTGCAAGGTCTCCTCAGCTCTGTATAGATCACACCTGACAGGCAGAAAGATGATGAAGTGAGCAATGGACAGGGCGAAGAGGAGAAGACTATTCTAAAGGTACAGTGTGTAATAATATTTACAGGGATTTACTGACAGAAATTGAATATATTATCTACCTCTATGTTTGCCTTATCTTAGAAATTGCTATTTATAATTGCATAGGACTCACTTTGCATTTGTGCGCTACAGCAGCTCAGAGCTAAAAAACTAGTAAACATTGTTACCATTACGCTCAAATCGGACTGCATTAAGTTATATTCAGTCTTACACAGACTTATAGAATACTATATATAAAATTATCTATGTAAAGTTGATAATTTAAGTTTTTCTGAGCGGACTTGAATCTTTTTCTTGCCCTCGGTCCATGTTTGTTTTGTTCAGAGTGCCTAAACCAGGGGGAAGAATAACCTTGACAATAGAGGTAATGTAAGGCGGCGTTCCATAAGCAGGACGAGCCAGTCAGCTGTGCTGTCCTCCGTGGCTAAGGAACCACAGCGGCAGCTTGGGGGGTATTACAGTGCTGCTAGCACTGTTGGCCCAGAGTGGCTAACCTGGTCCAGGCAAATTAGAGACTAACTGAGGAGGATTGAAGCGGAACAGTTTAAGATGGGATTAGACCACTGGGTGAAGAGGGGTCCGAAGGCAGGGGAGAGTGGCTACGGCTTACCATGAGGAGGACGGCCAGGGAAACGGAGAAGGAAGAGACTATGGCAAGCCAAGGCTAGCTGTTAGAAGTGGATGGGGTCTGCTGAGGGTTGGATGAGCCTGCAGGTGAATTGAGCGGCGGAGCAGGATGAGAGAAAGGATCAGCTGGTCTGTGTCTGTACTGGAGGAAGGATACGAAACTGTCCTTTGAGGGCTAAATTATTAGGGATATTGGGATTTTGGCCGATATCCGATATGCC